AGAGAGAGAGAGAGAGAGAGAGAGAGAGAGAGAGAGAGAGAGAGAGAGAGAGAGAGAAGAGAGAGCCTTTATCTTGGGAGCTTAGCTTGGGCGCAGCCACAGCTCGGGTTACTCAAGCGTGCCTTAGCGGAAGGCAGCCAAGAAATCTCCAAAACTCAGTGATAAAACAGCTACTCCGGGAAGGTGATCTCCATTAGCCACTAGCCACAGGGCTTCATCCTAAGCGCCTTGCACTGAGGTAGCTAACACACCCTCAGCTGCAAAGAAAAGACAGGTGGGAAGCCACCCCTTCAATGAGTGTCTCAAAGCTCTGCTGGCGCTCAGGATGTTGAAGATCTAAGATGCGCCACCTAAGAGTGCAGGTGCAATTTCAGGGTCCAGCTCGGACCCCTGAACACCTCCGGCGTGGGCCCTGATTGTAGCCGGGGCTATCCAGTGCTGAGCTAAGCCTTTGAAAGACCGAAGGCTGTCAGCATCGCTGAGCATGCTGGGTTTCCCCGAGGGAGTCCCCGAGGAGTTGCAAGGTTTGAGGGGTGACTGGTTCTCCAAGGATTTGAGGTTGCCAGGAGGATGATAAGGTCAAAGATTGTGTAAACAAATGGTACAAAACAAGGCAAGAGTTTGGAATTGGCGAGGCTGGGTGCCGGGGGAGAAGGAACAAAAGGTGGGTGGGGCTAAGAGTTTGCAGCCTTGGAGTGACCTCCCTTGCTACTTACCTTCTAAACATACAAGCCAGTTCCTTCTGCTTTCTCACCTTTTCTAAGGGAGCGCTTGCATTAGACAGGAAGAGATTCAAAAGGCAGCATCAAGACCTCTTCATTCTTCCTTCTCAGAGTCTTCCAAAGTGGGAATCTCCTCCTGGTTTACATATACTTTGGTTCAAATACTCCAGAAGACTTAAGGCAAGCTGTGCTAGGAAAACATCTTTTCAAAGTTGTTTCCCCCCCTCCGGGTTTCTTCTCCCACCCCTTGCTTCTTTCCTTTCATTGATGCTATCATCTGTGATAGACATATCTACACTCCTTTCTGTATTTGCTACCATTTCATTCCACAAAAGAGAGTATAGACAAATCTCTTGTTCCTGTCTGGCAATAAAGGTCCATAGACTTCCATCAGCACACATAGCCGTATGCTAGAGGGCCTCTGATAGGTCAGGGTGCAGCCCATTGTCCTGCTTTGTCTGCATCAGTCGGTTCATATTGTGCTAGTTACAGCTCAAATCTGAAGTGAAATAATGAGAGTGGAACTAAGTTCCAAGAAGCAAGTTTATTTTAGGGAGGTGAAACACCTATTTTGTAGGAAATAGGAGACTAGCATAACACTTTATATGTTCCATAAAACATCCATCCCAAAAATCCAACAACAACAACAAAAGCCCCAAGAAATTCTAATTATTTCATATCAAAGTATTGAAAACAACCAAAGGGAAGGGAGTGCCTGGCAAAGTTGAATCTTCTAGTTAATTAGCTTGAGTTTTTTTTGAATATGTACAATTTTGTCTCTTGTAATATCAAGAACACACACTTTCCAGATGCCTGGTTTATTTTACCTTCTTTTACGTTGTAAATAGACTATTCTGTCATTCTGTTGCCTGGCTGCAGCTGGCCTTGGAAGAGGAGTTCCTCTTCCAGATGCAGAAAGTTTGGAGCTATCCGTGGTGCTGATTCTGATACTGCTGCTAGTGGTTTATTGAGGAAGTCAACCAATGACAGTGGAACTGCAAACTCACTCAAGTGGCTGTTAAGCCACAAAGCCTGATGATCTTAATCACCAAATGCTTAGAAAAACACACGCTGCTATTTTTGACACATTACTTAAACACCTCCCTTTTTACTTAGTTTTTTTAAACTCAAATTGACATTTCTCCCCAAATCAAGGACTCCAGGGAAAGAAGAATAACCTACAAATTGTGTGGATTATATGTTTTATGTGTAAAGTTTCATTGCCTCTAAGGTTTCATGATACAATAATACAATAGTAAGTTGTAACAAAGCAGCATGGCTGGCTAATAAATTTTAAATGACTTGAAAAGTCAGTAATTGAATACCACCTTATGGTAATAACTATCCCCAAATAGGTTTTGAAATACAAATGTTTCTCTACTATAGGAAAAGAAGAATTGGCATGCAGAAGTTTATTGTGCAATGTTTCTATTTATGACTGTGCCAATGACTTTCACAGGCTATTGCATTTGGGAAACCTGTAACTCCACTTTCTTCAAGAGGAAAAATGGAATCATTTTCACTAGAGTATTTTCTCCTTAGCTACAACTCTCAAAATGGTATGTTTGAATTAGCTAGTAAAATGCATGATATATTTCCATAGCTTGTGTAATATTTAAGTAAGATCATAGGGTTTATATTTTCCTAGCCATATTTAACTAAGATCAGTTCTATTCACAAGTCTATGCACAATTACAGAACATTCCATAACTTATGTATTGTAATTGGTTGATTTGAACAGAAGATTAAAGGCATTCTGTCTCTAAATTACCCCAGTAATTGTGTTCATGAATTATATATTGGCATAGAGGAGGCAAGTACATTAATCTACATTCACACAATAATAGAATAAATTCAGAGGGTGACAACCAGGGCTTCTTACTGGCTGGAAAGTTCTTTCCTCCCATGCCCATCCTCTGCAAAAGCTAACTTCAGATACGATGAATTTTATTTCTAACAAGCGTTTGGAAGTTTTGGAGTTGTACATGTAAATACTGAAAAGTTACATAAACTGAGCTCTCAAAATTCCATGAAATTTACAGCTTGACACACACCTAATTATGAGCAAAGATATAGAATAGATTCATATGTCTTTTAAATCTCATAGTTATTCACATTGTCTTTAAAGTAAGCTATTAAAAATTTAAATATATAAATGTTCTGACAATCCCTATGACATAATAAATAATATGGTTTTATACCCCAATTTATGCATATGCGTGGTGCTGGGTTATTGCTCAGTAATAAAGCATGTTTGCCAATCTAGGTTCAATTCTTAGCAATTTTTTAATGAACATTTCTTAAGAATCTACATTAGAAAATTTTTAGGCATCGTGTATGGTTTCTCCAGTCTTTCAGGAAAGAATAGTTACCATCATGGAATATTTAAATGATTTTCTTATTATGTTAAGAAAAAAGGAAACTCTATGAGCAAATAAATGGTTTACTTTAGCATTTTACTGTTTTGAAGTGATATAGGAAGCAATTTGATTAGATTTGTGTAAAATTTTGTACAATTTAGCAAAATTATATGTTATTGATCTGATGACCACAATGCATCATTTTAATGTGTATCTTAATGTGGTCTTCTGTGGAGATGCTGTATCTTCTCTTACTAACTAGTTCACATCTTACTTAAGAAACATCTGACTCTACAGTTATGAGTTAGGCAGATTTTGGCTTGCTTTATTCTCTGTTGCTTGGAATCTCCTAAGAGGCAGGAATGTTGAAGTCATCTATTAACACAACAATGTGTTTGTGCAGTTTGGAGTCGAGGAAAGACTAGCCTCTAATATTAACTTATTTTATTATAGTGGAATTTGGGTATGGGAGATGGCTCAATTGTTGAAGTGTTTTGTGCACATGAAGGCAATCTGAGTTCTTATGACCAGGCTTGGGATTCCCATCTCTCACAGAGAGGCCAGGTGGCATGGCTTAACATCAATGCAGGGCAAAAGGGGACAGGTGAATTCCAGAGCTTTTAGTCAGGCCACATATTTGAAACAGTGAGCTCAAGATTTAGTGAGAGATCCTGTCCCAAAAAATATAGTGGAAAGCAACCAAAGAAGATACCTAATAACAATCTTGGGCGTTTTAAAATCTAAGAGAGAAAGTGATATTGGGAAATACCTAACATGCATATACATCACACATACACACACAAAAAAAAACCATTAAAACATAACAGAAAATATTGAAAATATTTCAGATATGCATTTGTGGGTTCATTTCTCAAATCAGTGGAACAATTCCTGATTTTCAGGTTTGTGTGAGCAGTAAGTAAAAGAGACATATAAATCCGGTATGTAGTGAATGATTCACCTCATTGCTGATATATTAAACTGACTATAATAACAAACTGGGTTCTATGAAGACTCAGGTGGACATCTCTTTGCCAAAGTATACCACCAATTACTGAAGAAAATAACCTGCTCAAAGGAATCAAAGATCCATCAATAACAGAAAAAAGAAGTGATGATAACAAGGAATAACAGATAAAAAGTGGATGGGGGATGGGATGTGTGTTAGGCAGGGGGCATGGGAGGATGTGAGGGAGAGGGAACTGAGATTGATATGTAAAATAAGATTGTTTCTAATTTAAATAAAATTTGTATATATTATGTATATATAAAAGAAATAACTTGACTCTGTAACTTATAAAAAATTTTTAAAAATCACCCCAAATATGATAAAAGTAGAAGGTTATAGCAATATTCTAGCTTAATATTTGTATTTGGCAGCATACAGTAGTAAGATGGTTCACATTATGATTTTTTATTTAAGAAATAA